ACGTCCCTTGCACGTCGCTTGCACGTCACTTGCACCTACAGAGCTGCAAACTCAAAGCTGGACTCCGACATGACCTGAATTTGACTACAGGCTACTGGTCTGTTTGAGTCAGCAAATCGCTTTCAGAACGTGGCAAATAGCAATGATTGCAGGAATACTCTCAGCAATCATTTCTTGCACCTCCCTTGCACATCACTTGCACGTCCCTTGCACGTCACTTGCACGTCACTTGCACCTACAGAACTGCAAACTCAAAGCTGGACTCCGACGTGACCTGAATTTGACTACAGGCTACTGGTCTGTTTGAGTCAGCAAATCGCTTTCAGAACGTGGCAAATAGCAATGATTGCAGGAAAACTCTCAGCAATCATTTCCAGCAGCGTCTCAAAGCAGAAAGTCTACGAAACTGCAGAGTCTACGCGGTCCAACATAGGCGAACCACACTCATGTCAAAGAGTCTACGCGTTCCAACCTAGGCAAACTGCACTCATGTCACAATTCTGCAGAGTCTACGCATTCCAACATCGGCGAACCGCACTCATGTCACGAAACTGCAGAATCTACGCAGAGTCTACGCATTCCAACATCAGCGAACCGCACTCATGTGTCACGAAACTGCAGAGTCTACGCATTCCAACATAGGCGAACAGCACTGATGACACGAAACTGAAGTATACGCATTCCAACATTGGCGAGCTGCACTCATGTCACGAAACTGCAGAGTCTACGCATTCCAACATATGCAAACCGCACTCATGTCACGAAGCTGCAGAGTCTACACATTCCAACATATGCAAACCGCACTCATGTCGCGAAACTGCAGTCTACAAGTCGCAAAGCAAGCAAACACATGGATTGAACCGATCACTCCAGCCGTGCAGACCCCTGCTCGTTCGACTCAGATTTGCCTACCCTTTGAAACAGGGGTGGACACACACAAACCCTGCAAGCAGTTCATAAGACTCTTGCCCTTCCGGACTTATTGACAACAGCGTCTCAAAGCAGAAAGTCTACGAAACTGCAGAGTCTACGCATTCCAACATAGGCGAACCACACTCATGTCAGAGAGTCTACACATGGCAACATAGGCAAACCCGCACTCGTGTCACCAGTCTGCAGAGTCTACGCATTCCAACATCGGCAAACCGCACTCATGTCACGAAACTGCAGAAACTACATTCCAACATTGGCGAGCCGCACTCATGTCACGAAACTGCAGAGTCTACGCATTCCAACACATGCAAACCGCACTCATATCACGAAACTGCAGAGTCTACGCATTCCAACATATGCAAACCGCACTCATGTCGCGAAACTGCAGTCAACGAGTGGCAAAAGCAAGCAAACACATGGACTGAACCAAGCACTCCAGCCGTGCAGACCCTTGCTCGTTCGACTCAGATTTGCCTACTCTTTGAAACAGGGGACTTATTGACAGCAGCGTCTCAAAGTAGAAAGTCTACGAAACTGCAGAGTCTACGCATTCCAACATAGACGAACCACACTCATGTCAGAGAGTCTACGCATTGCAACATAGGCAAACCCGCAACAATTGACTCTGCACAGCACAACCTCTCACAAACACATAGGACCTTGTACTGTTGCATGTCACTCGCACGGCACTTGCACCTCCCTTGCACATCACTTGCACGTCCCTTGCACGTCACTTGCACCTACAGAACTTCAGCCTCCGACCCCTGAAGCACAGCTCGCTCCACAAGCTTCACTCCTACACGACAAAACGCCGTGCTCTTGTCTACGTCACACTCAAGCACTGTTACGGTTTCATCAAAGCCTCGCACAAATGACATGGGTATCCAAGATTTGCTAACCACCGCACAAAGTTGTGAACAGCAATTTCGGCCTAACACGTTGGCCAAGTGTACTTGCGGATGAGAGAAACTCTCGACTTCGCTTCTGACACAAGCAAAAGCATGAACACACAACACTCGCACATCACTCATTGACTGCCTGCACATACCTTACAGATCACTTGCACTGCGGGCAACATCACGAATGTAACTGCATGAATGGTCACCTTCGACGCCTCCCATGGGAATTCTTGAATGCGTCAAAGCATGTCACTTGCATAACTCTTGCACATCCCTTGCACGTCACTTGCTGGGCGCTTGCGCATCTCTCGCACAACCCTACTGCTTCAGAAACTTCCATTGCCCTTCTCTCGCACATCACTTGCATGTCCCTTGCTTGCACAAACCTCCGTCTGCACAGCACAACTTCTCGCAAACACATAGGACCTTGTACTGTTGCATGTCACTTGCACGGCACTTGCACCTCCCTTGCACATCACTTGCACGTCCCTTGCACGTCACTTGCACGTCACTTGCACCTACAGAACTTCAACCTCCGACCCCTGAGGCACAGCTCGCTCCAGAAGCTTCACTCTTACACGACAAAACGCCGTACTCTTGCACTTGCACAACACTTGCGATGCAGCAAGCAGAGAGATGCGCACTCCGAA